ATAAATTTGTATATTTAGGGAAGAGCCCTTCATTTAAACATGTTTGGTTAAAAATAATGCCAGTTTTATTGAGAACATCTTTTGAGTTTAATCTCTCAAGCTTTCTGATAAGAGGTACAGTAACAGGGTCAATAAGTCTTAAAATTTGTCCAAATGGAAGGTTAGGTAAATCCTGCGACGCGTTTTGCTCATCACTGAGCATCTTCAGGCAACGAGGTTGAGCAGCTGAGTAGACGAGTTGCTTGCGGGTTGGCTGCAGAGAGAAGACTAGTATAGGTAGTGAACGAGGCTACAATTAAGGTTCTTATACAGTTGGTTGTACACTTGTTCTAGTTATGAAGTTTCAAAGTGCGTTGGGATCCAGTCGTTTGGTTGTTTAGGTATGGCTTTTTCCATTGGATTAGAATTGCTTCCATTATTTGTAGTCTGTTGTAGTCTGGTTCATGACGAAGGATTTTTGTATTTTGTACCAATTCGTCCCGGGTTAATTTGGTGTTGTGGTTACCCATGGCGTGTGTTTTTGGTCCACCAGAAACTAAATGCATTGTGAGCCGTCTTGATAGGGTTGTAGTAGTCATGCCAATATACGAATTGTTGCGGGGCTCGCACTCCCCGCGGTTACACGTGTATTCGTATATGACATTTGTTTGTTTCAGGGCTGGTAGTTTTGGGGCTGTGTTGTTCTTTGTGATTAAACTGGTTACAGCAGGGCTTTTGTAGTAGATTATCAGCTGTAATCGGTGGTTGTCGTTTGTGCATTCCACGTTTCGAAATATAATAATGGAAGTAATTCTAATCCAACGGAAAAACCAAAACCAAAAAAACAAAACAACGGAACCCAAAAAAACTTGAAAACTCAAAACCAAAAAAAAGGGAAAAACCAACGGAAAAAAAACCTAAACAAAACCCCGGTCAACAACCAAAACAAGCCTCCCCCCGCAACCAAACCGCAAACAAACCCGCCAACCAACCGCCTGAACCCCGTGCCCGAAAAAGCCCAAGGAAGGGCCAAAACCCGCACAAGAATTAACCAAACCTCCAATTGGAAAAAATTTAAGAACTAACAAACCCGGTAACGGAACCCCTAACCAAAAACCTGAAAAAATAAAACCAAAAAAAGGCCCCAAAAAAAACGGCAATAATTTTAAACAAAAAAGGTTAAAATAAAGGCCCCAACCCAAAAAAAAAAAAAAGGGAAAAAAAAAAAAAAAGAAAAAAAAAGAAAAACGCAAAAAAAAACAATTAATCCAAAAGGAACGCAACCAAAAAAGAAAAAGGAGAACTCAAAAGAACGGTAAGGAAAAATGAAGGCAACTTGCAAGCCTCAAAAAACTCAAAAATTGAGTTTAATTCAAAGCCAACCGAATAACCCGGTTCCAAGGGGAAATCAAGAAAGTTTTTATTTTGCGTTTGGCACCTTACAAATAGCATGTGGAATTTTTTTCAAAGATGCCATATTGATAGCCTCTGAAAGAGCTTTAAAATGAGCCCAAACTCATTTATGAAATGTTTCATGGTAAGAAGTTATTAACAAATAACACTCAAAACTGTCCCTTATTACCCTGTTTGATGGTATAAATCTGGCCAATCTCACCCATTCTTGTGCCATTCTTGTGAGATTTTCTCAATTTATTATGTAAAAAAATAAAAATTACTTATTTTCACCTGCAATTTTCAAAAGTCACCCATGAGCCATGAAACTATTATTTTTATCTGTGACATTAGGAGACTTCTGCCCAATATTCTTAATTGGGTCTGTACATTTAATGGATTTAGGATTAAGGGGATTGTCTGGGTCAAAAATTGAAAATTTTGGTTGTTCCGTTTTATTGGCTCATTTTGTAGCTGCTGAAAAGTTGCATCTAACGCAGCAATCCGGATGCATGTGCGTGCTCTAGTTTTTTTCTAGAATTTTTTAAAATATATAAAATGAACATTTTTTAACAATATGTAGAAAAATTTCTTCAAATTAAATCTGAATTTGTTGATCACTATGCTTGTTAATTGCACAGTGTTTGCACTCAATTGACAGCTACAAACAAGGCGTGTTCAACAAAAACACTACCAGGGATGTACGTGCAATAGATTTGGCACAAGGCTGTTTCGAACTTTTATAAAATGACCATTTTATATCAATATTTACAAATTTTTCATTTAAAAATACTATGTATAGATCATTATTTGCGTTAATTGCAAAGTGTTTGCACTTGTTTGAAAGCTACAAACAAGAGGCATTCTACTAAGCTCCTACCATGTATGTAAATGCAATAGTTTTTGCATAATGCTGTTGTAAAGTTATGTAAAATAAATATTTTATATATGCATATATACATAAAGTCCCATTTATATATATATATATATATAGCTTATTATTCATGTTAAACTGGACAAGAATAAGTCTAAACACGTGCGCTGGTACCCTGAATTCTGAAAGCAAATAAATGGCAATGGAAAAGCTTGGGCTACAATATCAAGAAATTTTTTGACATATTCTTCTTTTTTCAATGAATTTTACTTTAATTGGCTTCCTTGAAAAATTTTAAAAATCCAAAAAATGCATCTTAAAAATGTAATAACTCCAACAATTTTCAAGCTACAGCAAATGAAAGACATACCATTCGATTCATAAAGACCATACCTAGCAACTCTAGAAGCCCTTTTTTTGAATTCAAGCATGGTTTGACTTATATATGTGGGAGAGGTGGGGGAAGGGGGGAAAATGTGTAAAAATTGAGAAAAATGCACATAAAAGAAAAACGATGAGGAAAATAAAAAATTGGGCCTCCAGAGTTGCTAAATAATGTTGTTACGAATCAAATGATATGTGTCTCGACATTGTAGCTTGTGATTTGCCAAAGTTGGAAACTTTTTAGAGTACCCCCTATTTTGATGTTTTCTATTAATTTCTCGTTTTCTTCCATTTTTTCTGGAAAATTCATACAAGCAAATTATTTTTTATTTTACAAGTTTCGTATGTGTGTGAAATTTCAGGAAGATTGGTTAATAAATGTAGAAGTTTTTTCTGGACCCAGACGATCCCCTTAAGATAGGCAGTAACTAGAAGTCTAAGTATTTATTTTTGCATCTGATATTCATTTCTATGTTCAGTTATACTACCCACTTCAATTTTGCACTACCAAATGACATGGGCATTGCATTCCTAATCTTTTTCCAAAATTGTTGTTTTTTATTTAGCAGATTTTAACTATTTTTTCCTCAGGGATATATTAATAAATTAGTTTTCATACAACTTATGTTATACTTTTACTTGACTTTATATAAAAAATAATCATGTCATTCTTTGGAGGAGGCTCCGATCGCAAAATGGAAGGTAAGTTTGAATATATTATATGAAATTTTGTGTTGCTTTTTGATGCATGCTAATTTTCTATCATAATTCATCAATAAAAGCAAAATTGGAAAAGTATTAAATTTACTAAAATATTGTGGCTTGGAAATAACAGATTTTCTACAAGTTTGAGTGGAGTAGAGGAGAGGGGATAAATTGCGGGGAATTGCAGGGGATAAATTGCTGGCTTGATGATTCACAATTGTTAACTTTTTTAGCAGTCAGATAAGACATATTTACCTCATCTAGCAGGAATCTCACAGCTCATAAAATAGCTGGAAAGCTCTAGTTGTGGCTCAGCACATAGATCTATTCAAAAATGCTATTTCAATTTCAAGTGGTACTTAGCTTTCAAATACTCTAGAAAGTACTAATAATTTTAGGCAAAATAAGATAAATAAGGCCTGAATTACCATTCCCAATTGAAAAATTTTTTACTTTCAAATTTCCAAATAGTACCTTCTTTGATGCCATACCACTATTTTTCAATGAGTAACTTATATTTTACATCACTAATGGTTTATGAAATTCCCTGAATTGTGATCAAATATCATGTGGGTTGAATTTACCATTAAAAGACTCAAAAAAGTGTCAACTCTTGAAACTAGGGTAAAAAATTTGGAACCTTATATGCAGGTTGCTTCTCATAGGTATATGATGTATATCTTGAATTTTTTTAGTATGTTAATCCCAAATGTTAAATCATAGGCTCACCATGCTGCAATTGCACTGGGTGCTGGGTGATCTTCATCCAAGTTCAATACGTTGGAACTGACATTCAAATCAAGCACCAAGATTCTAAAGGAGGCTAGGATTGGATTATTTCAATGTTGCTTCAATCCCGTGCAATTTGGCTGTCCTATGATGCATCTGTCTTATGTAAAACTTTCTTTTACAGATTGCGTTTTTCAGCTGAAGTTCTGCTCAAAGCAGATGGAAAGGCTATCAAAAAAGGCAGAAAAGGATCAAAAGGTATGACCAATAAATTATCAATTTTATCAATTCATTGTTCTTTACAAAAAAATTTAAATTGCTGGTTCTCAACTTCATTTTTACAACACTTCTCTTTAACTTCACTTCTTGTTTGTCTGTTTGTTACAAATCTTGTAATCAAAATTTAATACACTTCTACTTATCCTATCAATCTGAAATTATGCACACTTGCGTAAAGTTGGAGACAATGCATGCATCAAATGACAAAATAAATAATTTTAGGAATAAAACTTTTTTTTTTCAATAGTAAAAAATTAAACAAATAATTTTGTCAGCTAGGTACAAATCTTATAATTGATATTTGACACACTTTTACCTGTTCAATTGATCTGAAATTTTGCACACTTGTGTGAAGTCAGAGGCAATGCATGAATCAATTGACAGAATAAATAATTTTGAAAAAATTATAAATTGAAAAATATGGAGAAATTAATTTTTTTATTATTTGAAAATAAAATGAGAAATTCATTGTACATCTTTTACATTGGAGACACTGAATCCTTTGGAAGTGTTGTCTTTAAAAAATAATTTTTAAATGTATATTACCTATATTATTTATTTTTCACATTCCCATTGTTCCCAATTATCTTTGCTGTTTTTTATGTATTTACCAAAGAATTTTTATTTATTTTTCTTTCTTTTTAACATTTCAGCTGCAAGAGGGAAAAATCAAGAAAGCTCTCACACAAGGCAATGTTGAAGGAGCTAGAATCTATGCAGAAAATGCAATACGTAAGAAGAATGAGTCTTTGTCATACCTCAGAATGGCCTCCAAAGTAGATGCTGTCCAGAGCAGGTGGGTTCTATGGCATAGGTATTTGAATGAATTTTCCGCTGCAATTCAAAACCTAGTAGCCAGCTCATGATTAGGTAGTATTGAAAAATTTAATGGCAAGGCTGTTTTCTCTTTTGAATATGAAACAAATTATCTGTTTTCTCTTTTGTTTTCTCTTTTGAATATGAAAAAAATTGCTAATGATTTTTTTTAAAATCTGTGTAAGTATTATCAACTCCTATTTCTTTGCAATGGGGAATAATTTCTATATAGAGGAATATAAGAATATACGTATTGATCTTCCATAATTGAATGCATAAACAGGTTCCAATAAAATCAGATAGGAACATTATTCTGCCCAAATGCAAACTTTTTCTTTCCATTGACATGAAATATTATGACTTGCAATTCATTATTTAAGCTCATGATAGCCGATGACCTAGATAGGAGCCTGAGTTTAGGGTTTATGACCTGCTGCATGTTGTGAAAATTTTGTCATAATCTTCAATAGGGTTGGCTTGTTAAGAATAGGCTATCAGCCAACATTGCCATATCATAGCTGACACCAAATTCAAATTTGACCCATCTTTTTGTAAATTTAAACTGTGTTATGTGAAGACCTAGATTTTGTCTCATTGATTTATGTATGCTAGTGTCCATGGCTGTTAATTTACAATTAAGATTGATTTTGAGGACTTTTTTTCAGACTGCAGTCTGCTGTTGCCATGAAGGGCATCACTAAAAATATGAGCTCTGTTGTGCGGAACCTGGACACTGCCCTCAATTCCATGGATCTACAGAAAATTTCTGCAGTTATGGACAAATTTGAATCCCAGTTTGAAGACTTGGACGTCAGAACTTCTGTGAGTTAACATTAACAGTTGTTTAAACAACTTGTGGTGTATTTTGCATTTGGCAGCAAGAATTTTTGTTAATTTGAATATACGTTAGTCTGTGATAGCTCAGTTGATAATCTAAATCTGCTTGCAGGTGCTTGAAGGAAGCATGGGAGCAGCAACAACCCTCTCTACTCCAAAGGAATCTGTTGATGCTCTCATCCAACAAGTGAGTTCTGGATTCTTCTTCAGTTCATTTTGATGTTGTAACTTGTCTCAGTTAAATGGACTCCATCTAGTTCGAAATGATTTTTAAGCAGGTTAACATCAAATAAGATACTATTATAGAGTACCGTATTCAGTTTGTGCATATTCTAATTTTTGTATTGATTTAACTTCTTACTATGCATTACAAATTAGGAGGTAATTGTTAAGGAGGCTATTAAAATTCAGTTAGTAGTGGCCAGCGTTATGTTAGAAATTTATGATTATTAAATAAATTAGTGTCAATTTATTCTCATTTTTTCAATTTATCTTTTTTTGCATGCATTTTTTTTATTATACGAGTCCTTAGTAGAATAGATTGCATTTATATTTCAGTGTTGTGGCTATGTTCCATTCTATTCAGAAATTTTTGAATCCATTGTGGCATTGTTAAGCAATGCATTCTGCGAAGTGACCGCTTTGTTTACATTCATTACACTGTAGACATTCTTCTCTGACATACATCTTCATCCCAGGTGGCTGAAGAAGCAGGACTGGAAGTCCTGGACAAGCTGGGCGAGGCTGGAGCGGCTCCAACCTCAACGATAGCGGCGGGCGAGCGAACCACGGACTCCGAAGACCAGCTCAGTCGCAGACTGGCGGCATTGCGAAACTAAATTTATGTTACAATTGTCCAGTGCGCAACTGAATTTTGCAGTGAGAGTGTAACTATTCAATTGGAGGTAATAGCTATTCATTGGGCTCATGAAAGGCAACTATGGTCCAATTTTCTGAAATCTGAAATTTCTTTCAAAATTTGCTGCCTGATTTTTTTTTATTGTTGATTAATTTGAATGATCAGAAGTCAAAGGTTGAATTGATAACCTTAACATTCATCTATAAGATATATATGATATTGTATGTGGCTTAGGCTTGTTATTCTCTCTATGACATTCACAAAATGCGTGGAACATCTTTACTCATTCAAAGATTGTTATTATTTTTAAAACGATTATATTTTTTTCACTATAAATCACCAAAGTTGATTAGCTTCACTATATTTCCGTATGCCTTATTATCACCACAATATCTGCATGTGATTATACTTGAAGTTGATAGTAATTAAGGAGGTACGATACGATTAACCTACGTTACAAGATATGTTGAATCTAGCACGCTGTGGGAGCAGCCCACAAGTCAAGTGCAGCAATAACCTGCCAAATGAACGTTATGATAATACCATGTACCTTATTATAAACTTATTTTCTAGCATCCCCCGATTTACGACCATGCTTTTTCTTCCCGCTTCTTTTCAGTCTTTTGTCAATCAGTTGATTATATTTTGATGCACTTTGAGTACCGTATCTTACTAGAAACTTTATTCTATTTTTTTATTTCGTTACAATTTTTTAATATATATTCGTCGGTGGTGAATAAAATTAGGCAGGAACTTATGCCTTTAGCTTCCACTGTCAGCTTTACATTTTGGGCAATACGATGTGTAAAATTTTTTTCTCTTGCACCTCGACTTTTTACCTTCTATACTTGCAGTGATCTTTCCACCTTCGAGTTGATCATTAAAAGCAAGATTTAATCACCAAATACGATAGTTAACTACCATATTTTCCGGTATTATTTTGACTATTTTTTTACTGATCGCAGCCATTTAATGTAAGACTGCCTCTTAAACTCGCGATTTGCTCTGGAAATCATTCTGTTCAATTAATTAAGATGATCGATCATTCTTTATTATGTTGCATTCAATCTGTCGGCGACAAACGAATATGAAGAATTTATCACCATTAACGATACCTCAAAGTAAATTGTTTTCGTTATAACTTAAGCTTCTTTTAAGTATGAATTCCGGTAACATTTCGTAATAGTACAGGTATAGAATTCGACAGCTTTATTTTTTACGTAATTGTACTTTGATATTAAAGTTATAATTATCACATCAAAACAGATACTCGGTATCTGAGTTATACCTTGAATAACGTTCATGATATTTATACAGTTAATTGAATTTGCAGCTGGCGTGCCATGTTAGCCTGTCACATTTTCCAATACAAAATATTGTACACAGTTACTGCTGGGATTTCCAGGACGGCATGAAAAACTAGTGAGAAAACTCATGTTGCGTTCTGAACATGTTACCAAAATGTAAAGCATGTTGCGTTCTGAACATGTAAACGGGGTTACCAAACAATGCAAGACTTGTGAGCACTGGGGCGAGGCTGACAGGTAGAAGCTATTACGGTCGCTTGCTGGTGATGAGATGAGGCTCAAGGGGCGCGCGGGAACTGGCGTCAACGCAACGCCAGATCCACGACGGCTTCACGAACCGAACTTCCCGGTTTTCCCGCGTCACCTGCACGTCAAATTCATGCGTTATTTTGAACCT